GCCAAAATAATTGGATATTTCATTTATATCACTGGCGTCCATATTGATTCTTTGATTACCAAATATGGTCATAAATTGTAATTGCGAGTTAATATGAGGAACGCAAAAGTTACTGTCAAACCTCATTTATTTAATTTGTATATAGTAAAAAAGCTGATTTCCTTCTAAAACTGGTATTGGATGATAGCATGTTGATCTCCCCTTAGTAATCTCTCTATCTGATTCAAAAATCCCATCAAGATTATAGGCTTATCATATAAACATATACAGCACTCAAGACAGTCCGTATAAAGTGTTCAGAAAATGATTGAAAAAAAATTTGTGATAATCTAAACTCGTTTTACAAATTACATGACAAACGTAGAATTGATAAGCTGTAGTTGTTATCCATTTAGTGATGACATACTGTTTTTTTCTCGTATTCCTTCATTGCATGTTTGCAGGTACTATCGCAGTGTCAATTCCATAGAAGTTGTTCAGTTGCAAAGACGTAACAACTACAACATTTGCAAACAAGTTGCAAACATTTGCATATATTCAATAAAAATAAAAATATTCAACATCAAGTCCCAAAACGTCTCTTACAACGTCAATAACATTTACATGTAATTCGCAATTTATCAAAAGTTTTTTTTTTCCGAATGTTAAAAACCAATTTAAGCAAACGAGTTTTTCTTGACTGTTGTCTAGTTTACAAGTGAACACCATTGATGAGATTCCCTGTATAGGACGCGATAATTGTCACTATGCTATCGCGCAACTCAACTTGTACGTGTAAACAGCCCTGCGATTGTTGCGACGATGAAAAATCGCCGGGAAGTTGCAGCCAATTTTCAAGCATGTTCGAAACTCAGGCGATGGTCGCGTGGTGATCGCCGCAAAAAAGCGTGAAACACTGTAAACGGCCCTTATGGATTGCATGGGATCTTTGAACCAAGAGGAGACACGTACATAATGCGACTATTTTTTTTATTTTTAATAGTTGCTGATTTTTTTAATTATTTTAATGAAGCGCCTGTACTCGCATTTGATTGGTCCAATTTATTATGGAGAGTTTCTCCGGTAAAACTTGAAGCTTTCGCTTCTCCGAGGAAGAAGTTACACAGGTAGCCCAACAATAAATTATTCGTTATCATCCAGACTCTCGCATGTGAGAAAGGAAGATATTTCGCTCTAAAATAAAGAAACAATAAAAGATTAAGTATCAGAGTATCCTGATAACTGACATATATTGCACGGCGTCGGAATCTTCTTGGATTCACGAAAAAAAAAATAATACAAAAAGAAATAAAAAATTGTCGCGAGAAGCCGGTTTGCCCAGTTGTGAAAGTCCATAAAATGCGGATTAGATGGTTATTTATAGTTTATTTTGAAAATCATCATTGTGCCATTATTGTAGTGCAGACTACAATGAAAGTGTCTAGATACCCGGCACCCGGGAACGAATTTCAAAATACTAGAATGACAACAAGCGCAGACCATCGTTCTCATATAAGTGCGCTATCAAGAATTTCGTGCGAAAAGCACTTCCTGTAGAGCTTTAATAGAGCTTTATTAAAGGTATTCTAAATGTTTTGTAGTTTAATATCAAATCGTCGTTTTACTATATGCTTTTAAGCTTTTTACTATTTTTATTAATTTATAAATCAAGATTAAACTTGAAATTTTCAGCAGATCTGCAAGTAAAAATATTGGTAATATAAATATTTGCAAAAATATACAATTTGATTTGACTGCACAAATTTGGACAGCAATCGCATAGCCGGACATGAATTTAACTCAGGTAACATAAAAACGATTATACTTATGATCTAGTTTCGAAAATACATTTTKTGAAATTTCTCAAATAACAAGGATTAAAAAATTTTTCAAAAGATGAAGTCAAGGTATAGGCGAGGGGTGAAGTTCAATAATCGTTTGAGGTAACCCTCACCAATCGGACCTCAACACCCATGAAATTCGCTTCATTTATATACTAGTAAAACATAAGTTGTTTTTCAATGTGGGAGCATCATAACAACATCTTCTGATATGATTTTGCGCATGTGCAATAACAGAACTAGAGTTATTTTTTTTAACGTAAGTTGGCCAAAATGTATATAACAATCATCCCTAATAAGATTGAAATTGTCTAATTATTTCTAAAGTGCAAAAAATCTGGACCAGGGACCGGAAAAAGCTGTAAATCTATTTAGAAAAACACGACCTTGTACCCAGATCTCCTCAGTAAAGTCTGTCGTCGTTCCTTCGTGTAGTTATTTTGTTCTTGGAGAAATAGACTCAATATAGAAACCTCTTCATCTCTATCTAGTATAACAAAACCAGATATTAAGAACAATATAGATTATGTACTGATGTTTSTGGGGTTCAAGAAACGATCAAGCGATTATAGTATGACTAAACTGATCATATTCATCGAACAGCTCSCTAAGCCGGACTGACAAAATGGCGACGGCTTGTTATAATAATATAAATGGCACACTTTTTATGCAAGAAATATGACGATTTGATGTCAGGTCTTCTCACAAGGTGATTGCTATGATATTTTGTACTTTATTATATTATTTTCAATGAAATCGGCTGCGATGGTTTGCTTTTATTTGACTTTCCCTGATGTCAAACTCTGGCGCTTTTCGCCTTGAAATATTATATTAAGTTACATTAAGACTTTAAAAGCTGCTAGTACGCGAGTAGAAATATCACTGTTCCGAACTTAGAACTTATATTTCCTATTAGAATACTCTAATGGGAGGGACAGTCAGCACTGATCTTAAWGTCTGCGATTTATTCGTGTTCATTGCGATTGTTTGAAAGATATATATCTGTCCTTGATGTGCCCGAGACTCCATCACTGCAGCAGGTCAAATATTGTATGAAAAACATATATTGCATTARCTTATATATTCATCCTTGCTTAAGGGAAATATTAATTTCCCAGCAACCAAGCAATTAAATTTTTTGGAGGTACAGAGACGCATAATAAATGATAATAATTATAATGTATATTTAGGGTGCCAGGTACATACTCCCTAAAAATAAATTCAAGCCATGCAAATTAATGTTAAAAAGTTGCAAAAGTAAAGTGAATTTTTGTTTAGATTTGATTTTTCTTCCTTCCATGATTCTATGCTRTACTAGAGTGAATAATAGCAATCTAGTTCGCTTAACTCACTCAGGCACCTTAGTTGATGGCCGGAGAACATAACAATGAGGTTGGAGTATAGTACTAAACTTATCTAGCCTTTATTGTTTTCACAGCTCACAGCTTCACAGRAGCTTCACAGGAGGTTTACTAACTTAAGGTACATGAAACCTGTAGACTGTGCTAGCCAACTTACAGTATTAGCCAACTTACATTACTTAGGGCAATTATTACTTAGGGTATTATTGCATGGTAGAATTATAACATTTTGGTCAATTCCCTCTTTGAACAGTAACAAAATGTTAAAAACCATAAAAAAGTGACAATTGTGTGACAAATGACTTATGTATTAACTTTGTAGTTTTAATGAGTTTTCAGTTTACATTTACATGCAGTATAGCATATAACTCGCCCATTATATCTCAATACATCTATACTTTATTTAAGACTTTGTAGGACWGGGAGAGGGAAGTTTTATTTTATTCTCACCCTGTTACCCTAACAACCTGATGCATCCCATTTCTTCCCAAAAAGTAAATGCATATTCATTTCTCTACATGACTAAAATGGGAAATTGATCATGATATTAGCTGAGTTTCCTAAGCTAGGATTCTGCAGTAATACAGTGTTATGCTATTTCTATTACAAAAACTAAAATGAACTGCAGCTCTGCAATCCTAYGTTAAAGCCTTTTCCATGACCTGAAAAGAAAAAACCATGTTATTATGATACAGTTCAGTTCTATATTCCTCTTATCAATCTTATTAATGTTAGACAATATGTACTTGATTGGTAGTTTATTATGGAGKGTACTCATCTAATTTGGTCATGTTAGTTGGATCAATTAGTACAATGATTGGCTGCGTGGCTTACTGCAGCTATTTGGATTTACTTGTATGATGTAACATGATTTAAGCTGGCATTGCTGCCTAGTACATACATTGATTGGTAAAATTGAATCAAATTTCTGATTCGCATTAGCCTGCATTAAGGCAAGTCACTCCAAGCAGCTAGGAACGCCTGGCTACACAGTATAGCATAATTAACAGTAGCTGCTGACAGGATTATAGTACTACAGGCTACACAGTATAGCATAATTAACAGTAGCTGCTGACAGGATTATAGTACATCCTTGAATATAACATTTAGGGAAACAAAACACAAATGTATTCCATTGTTTTGTTCCCCAGTTGCAGCTATACATTTTCATGAATTGCAGTTGGCTGGTTGCCGTGGTTATAATCAACAAACCTAAATGCTGCAGCAGAAGAAGGTGGCTTTATTAAGGGCAGTGTTATCAGCATTTTTATTATACCACTTCTTTTTTATAAAATCCTCCACTTTGGTTTTGATACCACAAATAGCAGATTTAGG